TTAGGGGGCCCAAAAATATTCACCACCACCACCACCTCCCTCCCCCCTCCCTCTCGCTGGAAAGAGAGAGGAGGAATCGACGTGGTGGTGGTGTATATTCTTTGGGCCCCCATGACTGTTCCAGGCCCGGCGAGGGACCCCGGAGGCCGAGAGCGACATGGGTCTCCACTGCACGCAACGCCCGATGCTCCCCCCCCCCCCGAGGGGCAGGCCGGTGGAAGACGCGTGCGGCAGGCCCGGGGTGGAGGCGGGGCGCGGGGGACGCGAAGGGGCGCGGCGCGTCTGTGGCGGGCGCGGGCGCCGTCGTCGCCGTCGGCGTGGGCTGCGTCGACGTCCTCGGCGTCGACATCCTCGGCGCCGCCCTCGTCCTCGGCGCCGTCCTCGTCCTCGACGCCGTCCTCGTCCTCGGCGTCGGCATCCTCGACGTCTTCCTCGTCCACGGCGTCGGCGTCCTCCACGTCGTCCTCGTCCTCGACGCCGTCGCAATCGTCGTCGTCGGAGCGAAGCGGAAGCAAGAACGAGAGAGAACGGAAGAGAGGTGATGGAGGAGGAGGAGGAGGAGGAGGAGGAGGAGGAGGAGGAGGAGGAGCAGGAGGAGGAGGAGGAGGGAGGGGGGGAAGGAAGAAGGGCCAGAGGGAGGGGCGGGCGGAGGGAGGCCAGGCGGAGGGCGGGACAGCGGGAGGATGGAGCGGGGGGGGGGGAGGACAGAGGGATGAGGGAGGGAGCACGGAGAGGCTGGGGATTGCTAGGATGGGGGCTGTCCAGGGTGTTTGACGAGGTTCCCGGGGAGGGGAAACCACACCGGGGGGAGGACAGGGACGACGGTCCCCGGCTGGACCAGTACGACGCACACAGCAGGACTGGCGCGTGGCAGGCACGCCGATGGCCAAGGGCCATTGGACAAATAACGATCGGCTTAATTTGCCCGCCTCCCTGCTACTTCTCCTCCTCCGCCTTCGGATGATTCCGCCGATTTGCTTCGCCACCTCCTCGGATTCCTCCTGGCCATCCTGTTCAGTATCTTGGTTATGTTCTTTATCTTCTCCATCCTGCCTCTCCATTCACCATCACATCTCTCATGATTGTTACCTGCACGGCACTGTTCGATTGCTTTCGTCTTTCCTGATTGCTGGACGTTGCCGGACCTGGTCCGACTTTACCTCGCTCCACATTGTGCATTGCACGCGCCGATATGTCAACCGACCTGGCAAACATACAACGACTCAGCGCAGCGGGAAAAAGGGTGGAAAACAACGACTCAACGCAGCGGGAAAAAGGGTGATAAGACGCGGTAGTATGTCACATCGTGTGGCACGGGCGCGTTCAACTGCACATGGACATGATTGTCCTCTCTCTCTCTCTCTCTCTCTCTCCCTCGATGCTGTGCAACGGTGCCCCCCCACCACTCCCGCGCAAAGTATTCACGCACGTGCACACATTGCGCTCCATACGAGTAACCCCACGTTGTTTTGGAGTCCCGAAACGGTGCGGTGACCGACCGTGCGGTGACCTCGAAATCCCCCAAGACCTCACCGCACGGTCCGTCAACGCATGGTTTTGGGACCTCGGATGCCCCCAACCGCCCGAGACATCCTCGGAGAACGACCCGAGTCCCAAAACCGTGCGGTGACCCCACCCGGTGTGGTCACCACCCCGTTTGGGGGTCCCCGAGTTGTGACAGTCGGACCTTCCAGAAGGGTGCCCCCCGGTGCAAAGCTGGCCACGTCGCGTGGCGTGTCGGTGTTGCGCCCGTCGCTCACACTGGCACCTTCTTCGCCACACCGCGGGCCGCGCATTGCGGATCCGATGGCTTCCTCGTCGTTGTCTTGGCTCCTCCTGTCCCCCCTCGTCCGTTTTCCTTGCTCACGTCCTGTTCCGGCGCCTCCTCCCCTTCCTGCCGCACCCTGTTGTTCCTCTTCCTTCTCTTCATCCGTTCCGTCCTCGTCGTCGTCGTGGTCATTCTCACACCATCACCATCATCATCACCATCATCATCATTATCCTCATGATCCCCACCAACATCCTCATCATAATCGCAACCATCACCCGCAACATCGCCAAAATCATCACAAACATCGCCGCCGTCACAATCACCGTCATCAACATCACCACCATCATCAACATCATCATCACCGCCACCATCACCATCATCACCATCGTCATGAACATCATCCTGCTCCTGCCGCTGCTCATCCGCATCATGTTTCTTCTGTTCGCAAAAACTACCCTGCCCGACTGTGCAACAGACCAACAGTCAAATCTTGCACCTACCATTTGGGGATCAAACCATCTAGGACACCTGGTCGGCGGATAGAAAAGGATTCCACGCAATGGGAGCAGTAGGGCGTCAAATGCGGCGAGAAGACGTTCCGTCCAGCCTGCCCTATTCCCTCTCTCAATCCCCTCCTTTCCACCGTCACTTCCCCCGTCTCTTTCACCTCCTCCCCCTCCTCCGTCATCCTCCTCCTCCTCCCCCTCCTCCTCCGTTTTTCCTTACGAATAGCTCCCCCCTGTCGCACCCCGAGGCCGGTCGAAAGGCCAGGCTGGGCGTTTCGCCTGAGACTCCCTTGCCACTTATGACTCTGAAGCTTACAAGGTGACAACGTCTTCACAGATGGAGGGCGGGTGGTCTTCAAAATGTGATTCTCGCCTGAGCGCGGCGCGCGTTCGTTTGAACCGTTTACAACAGCCTCGCGGGTTGACGGCAGGTAATTTTCAAAATGCTGCTCTCGCCTGAGCCCCGCGCGCACGCGTTCTGAAGATCGCAAGAGCTTCGCGGACCGACGGCAAGTCGTTAGCACGGTGTGGCCGTGATCCTCAGCGCCGCTCACATTCGTTTTGAGAAATCTGCACGAATTTCACGGATTGAGGGCGGCTCATTTTCAAAGAACGATTCCGCTTTAGCGCCGCGCGCGTTTTCGTTCAACACTACTTGCAAACAAATCACGGGTTCTTATTGCGAACGCACCATAAAACGGTGTTTGGGAACGATTCACGAATGTCAGAGCGCACCTGTTACGGGCCGAGTTCGGCGCCTGGCACTCCCAGGTTTCGCCGCGTCGGCTCGGAGCGGCAAACTGGGCTGCTGGATGTTGAGGCAAGGGCGCAATACGGAAAGGTAGCGACGAGGACGGCCGCGGACGACTGCGCCCCTGAGGACGTTCAGGTAGGCCTCGAGTCGAGATAAATCTGCCAGAGCGTTCTGGAACGCTCTCGCAGCGATCCGGAACGCTCCGAAACTGCCGCGGCGCCTATTACATCCTGCAAGCCCGCCGATTCTCGTAGATTTCCGAATTCTATCGGCTCTATGTCGTCTCGATTTTGCCTTCGTCTTGCGCGGAGGACTGTGCCCCTGAGGAGGAGGTCGAGCACTCGCTGGGCGTGCGGCTACAGCCTGGCGGCACGGAAGCACATTTCATCGGCCGTCGGCCGCCGCTCTGGCGGCGTCTGCTGCCTGCTGCCCCCCGACATGCCCAGGGGCGCGCGGCTGCGGCGCGGGCAGCAAGACGCCGCCCGACAGGGCGAAGACGCGCGCCCGAGCTGTGCAAATCTTGGCCCATCGGCCCGTGCACGCGCCGTGGGCCTTGCATGCGCCGGCCGCCCCTCGGCGCTCCTGGGCTCGACCTCGCCGGCCGCGGGGTCCTGCGCGTCCGCAGAGCACCGCCGCGCGGGTTTCCACCGGCGTCACCCCAACATCGTAATACTACGTATGTGTGCGTCGCCCCCCCAGGGGCGACGCGCGAACCGAGAAATCTTACAACAGTACATGCGTCGTGGCGGGCGCTTTCTGGCCACACCGTTCGGGAAACGATCTACTACAAGATGGGTATACTATATGTTCGGGTCGGACGCGCGCCTCCAAGAAGGACATCTCGTACTGGTGTGTCTTTGCGCGTCCCACTCCAGGTGGCCGCCAGCGCGCTGGCGCAGCGCTGGGGGGCCGAGCCGAGCGCTGCGCTCCACCGCGCCGCTGCTCGGCAGCTTCGCGCCGCCCTCTGGGCGCGACGGCGCCCAGGCGGCGGCCGCCGCGCTGGCGGATGGGCTGGCTTTCGCCAGGTGCGCTGGCGGGGGCGGCCCGGGCGAGCGGCCGGGGCGAGCTGCTGGTTTCTCGCGCTGTTAAACGCCAGATTGAAGTCGGGCGCGCCCCTCGACAATAGGCATCTTCAACTATAGTCCGCAAATCGTGGAGGAACGATTTGTCGATCTGATTTTGTTTTGAGTTGTTGTTGCCATTTTTTGCTTTCCGTACAATATCCGCCTGTCGGAGGACGCGCCCGACCTAACGCCATCGGATTCCAACTTAGAGAATCGATCCCAAGAGGCTGCGCGCCTCGTGGGAGGCGGGGCCGGCCTCAAGAAGCCCGCCGCGTCGCGTGCGTTCGGGGGCGCGCAAACTAACATGGATTAGCGATCCGTGGATCTGGCGCGCGGTCGTCCAATCCATGGATCGGCGGACGTGCCCTCCCAAAATGCGCCCGGCGCGGCCGCCTTCGGCGGCGGGAATCCACGATCTCCCACATGGAAGCGGGACGCGCCGCTAATCCACGCCCCCTTAATCCATGCTTGCGATCGCCTGATTTGTGGAGGCCGGGTTCTGCTTCGCAGAACCCGGGAGATCAGGATGCCGAGCTTGGTTTCCAACAGAAGGCCGTCGAGAACCGCGCGTCGTCGGAGGCCGAAGTCGACTTCCCCAAACGCGCAGCCCCTCGCCCCCTCCCCCCCCCGGGAGAGATGTCCCGAAAATTTCAAGTTGGGCAAGACTTCCCGAAGATCTGAATGAAATTGTCCCCCACCCTGGAGCTTTCCAGAAACGCATCTCCCCCCCCTCGCCCCGCCCCACCACCCGACGAAAAGACATCCTACCCTTGCCGCTCCCCCTCCTCCCGGGGAGAAATCTCCCGAAGAACGATCACCACCTTGAGCTTCGCAAGAGTGGGCCCAAACAGTGCTACCTTCAGAATGAGGTTCAGCAGCAGCACGATCACCATCTTCAGCAATGCCAGGATGGGCCAAAACTGGGCCACTTGCCGAAACGCCTTCGACTACTCTGCCGACCAGCAATTTTTGCGGGCGCGGGCCTCCCTGAGTAGGTAATCCCCCGCAGGATGAACTGCTGGACCGCGCTCGATCCCGCCTGGCTGGGCTCGCCGCCTTTGTCGCGCCCTTCGCCTCCGCCGCCCCGCTTCGGACGGGTTCGCCTTGATCTGCGGCTCCGCGCCCGCGACCTGCTCCGAATCGCCCGCACCAACAGCTCGCCTCCGCGAGCTAACCTGCCCGACGAAGCTCTGCTTGGCAGCCTTGCGCGCCTCCTTCGCGATCTCGCTGTCCATCCAGACCGCCTCCGAGACCCTGGTGCGCCGAGGAGGCGTCCGCGGCGCCAACTTGAGGCGCACCGCCTGCGCTGCAATCTCCCTGGCCTCCTCCAGGTCAAGTCTCACCTTGCCCTTCCTCTCGATGAGCGTGTCCCCCAGCCCGTAGCCAAGGGCCATTTCGTTGACCACAGCTCGCCGCTTCCGATCCCCCAGGGCCGCCATGGTCCGCGCCTCCGACTGGTCCATCCTTGCAGATGACAACCTTAGCCTTCTCTACGCAGCCGAACCCCTTGCAGAGGAGACAGGGCTTAGCGCCGAGATCCTCCTAGAGGCAGCTCACTCCGAAGTAGAGCACCAGCTGCATTCCCTCAAAGCATCGCCGTCGCGGCTCGGCAGCGCATCGCCGCCGTCAATCGGGCGCTGACAAGAGACCGCTTGGGCCCCACGGCGGCTAGGAGGAGGAGGAGGAGGAGGAGGAAAAGGAGGATACAGAAAAGAAAGAAAGAGAGGATGAGGAAACCTAATATGAAGAGGAAGAGAGGAGGAGAAGGAGGAGGAGGAGGAGGGGGAGGAGGAGGAGGAAGAGGAGGAGGAAGTGGAGAAGTAGAGGGAGGAAGAGGAGGAGGAGGAGGAGGAGGAGGAGGAGGAGAAGGAGAGGCAGGAAGAGGAGGAGGAACACGAAAAATAATAACAAGAATGCGAGTGATAATAATAATAATAATGATAACAATGATGATAATAATAACAATACTAATACTAACGATAATAATGCGACTCGTCGGTATAATAAGAATCAGACTAGGAAGAACAATAAGAAAACTAATAATAATAATAATAATGATATGAAGAGGAAGAGGAAGGGGCGGAGGAGGAGGAGGATGACGAAGAGGAGGAGGAAGGTGGGGGAAGAGAGGAGGAGGAAAGAGGAGAGGAGGGGGAGAAGGGAAGGAGGGGAGGAGGAGAGGGGGAGGGGAGGAGGAGGGAGGGAGGAGGAGGACGAGGCCAGGCCAGCTGGGAACTGGGAGGGCCCAGGACGGCCCAAGACTGCGACGGCCTCAGGTCCAAGACGGCAAACGGCCCAAGACCAAAGGGCCCAAGACCCAAACGGCTCAAGACGGCTAGGACCCCCCTCAGTGCCAACACTGCACACGAATTAGGAAATATACACCGCCGCCGTGTGTATATGTGTTCTATATGTAGATCGAAAGATTTGAACGCGTGCCTGTAAGATACGCGTATGAAAAGACGTATAGACATAAACATAAACATATGCATAAACATAAACAACTACGTAAACATATACATATACATATACACATACACGTACATATGGTAGAGCGATACTCAACATAACAAATCGCAGGGGGGGGTCGGAAGGGCCCCCCCCCCCGGCGCTCAAATGGCAGGGGGGGGGGGCTAGCCCCCACCCCCCCCTCGCAAACGAGAGGCTGGGGGAGGGCTGAGGGCCCCTCCCCTCCTCCAGCGAAGGGGGGGCGTCAGAGAGACAGCCCCTCCTTTCGCTCTGCTTTCTTTCTCGTCGTTCCTGGCGCGCTGAGGGGGGGTCCTCCCCTTCGGGGCGCGGGCGGGAAACAGTCGAATGCCGGAGGGGGGGGGGGGGTCCTCCCCGTCTGGGCGCGGGCAGGATAGACTCTCGAATGTTGGAGAGAGGGGGAGTGCCTCCCTTCTGAGCGCGAGCAGGGGAGAGTCTCGAGTGCCGAGGGGGGGGGGGGTCCCCCCCTTGTGAGCGCTGGAGGAGAGAGTGAGTCTCGAGTGCCGGGGGGGGGGGGGGGCCTTGTGAGCGCGGGGGGAGAGAGTGAGTCGCGAGTGCCGGGGAGGGGGGGGGTCCCCCCTTGTGGGCGCGGAAAGAAAGAGTGAGTCGCGAGTGCCGGCGGAGCGGGGGAGGTTCCCTCCTTGTGGGCGCGGGAAGCGAGACTCGAGTGCCGGGGGGGGGAGCTCTAGCGCGCGGCAGGACGAGAGCCTCGAGTGTCTGGGGGGGGGGGGGGGGCGTCCCCCCTTTGCCCCTCCCACCACCTCTGCAGTGCGCAGGGGGGGGGGAGGCCTTCCCCTTTGAGTTTCCCCCCCGCCGCGGTTGCTGAGCGTTTTTTTGTTGAGTATCGCTCTCTCAAGGTACATATACATATACATATACATGTACATGTACATGTACATGTACATGTACATGTACATATACAAATACATATACATATACATATACATATACATATACATATACATATGCATATGCATATACATATACAAATACAAATACAAATACAAATACAAATACACATACAAATACAAATACAAATACATATACATATACATATACATATGCATATACATATACATATATGTGAACATATATATATATATATATGTTTACATATGTGTGTATGCACATGTGATGTATGTACGCTGTCCTCCCTCCACACGCTCTTCTGATTCCTCCTTCCTCCGACTCCTCCCCCTCCCACCCCTCCCCCTATGTCCCCTCCCCCCCTCCCCCCTACCCTCCCTGCCTTACCCCCCTCCACACTTACACAGCATGCGTACTACTCTCCTCTCTCCCCTGACTCTGTCTGGAGTGTCCCGTTCTCTCCGCGTTTTGTTTATCTTTACACTCTGGATTTCAATAGTTGGTTATTCCGATGTGCTTTTCAATCCAGTCGTTTCCAGTCCTTCCCAAATGGTGTTCCCGCTGCAACGCCGCCCTCATTTCCGCGCTTCGGCCATTCAAAATCGTGCTCCCGCCTCTACGCTGGCCTCATTTCCGCGCTTCCGCTCGTTCCGAATCGTGCTCCCACTGCCGCGCTGGCCTCATTTCTGCGCTTCTGCTCGTTCCAAGCTGTGTTACCGCTGCAGCGCTGGCCTCATTTTCAGTGCCATACCATGGCATGCAATGCAATGCAATGACATGCAACGCAATGCTATGCAATGCTATGTTGTGTTCCGCTGTGCGATGCAGTGCCTTTTGCTGCAATGCTCTGATATGCAGTGCTTGACATCGCAGTGCCACGTCATGCTCTGTCATTATGCGCTTGGACATTCCACGCCATGCTATGCCATGTAACGCCCTGCCATGCAACGGCATCCGACTTTGCGAATAGAGAGGAGATCTACGCCATGGTAAGGGATGGGAGGCAGGGGTAGAATGTCAGATAAGACGCTTGCGCACCTAGCGTGTCCTACCCCCCTCCCCCCCCTACCCCTACCCCCTACTACCCCCCTACCCCAACCCCCACCCCCCCCGACCCCCTTCCTCTACCCCCCATTCCCTTCTCCCTTTCTTGTCCCCCTTCCTATCCCCCTCTCTTGGTCCCCTCTTCCCAAACATCTGGCTGCTCCAATGTTGTTCGATGCGTGGGCCCTGGAGGTCTGGACCATTTCCCCTGGACTGGTCTTTGGTCCGGAGTCGTTTTGCTGACGCTCCCGAGGGGCGGCGAGGGCCCCCGGAGGCCAAAAACGGCCAAGAACCGCCTGCCCCAATATGTTTGGAGCGTCGGATCTCAGGGTCTCTCCTCCCCCCTTCCCCCCCTCCTCCCCCCCCTTCCCACGCGGCCCTTTTTCCCAGCTAATACAGAGACTCGATTCGCACATCTTGCGGGCGAGTCGACGTCTGGCCCCACCGGGAGGCGCCGCGACTGTCCCGAGAGGCAGGGGAACGGGGAGGCGGGGGAAGAGGAGAGACAACGAGAGAGAGGGAGAGAGATCTCTTGCCCTCTGTGCCCGGCAGCCATTGCATGCAGTACGCTTCCCTCCTTCCCCTCCTGCTCCTCCTCCTCCTCCTCCTCCTCCTCAGCAGCAGCAGCAGCAGCACCCGAAACACCACCATCCTCATCACCCTAATCCACCTCCTCCTCGTCGTCGTCCTCCTCCTCCTCCTCCTCATCAGCAGCAGCAGCAGCATCAGCATCATCATCTGCATCAGCATCATCATCGGCATCAGCATCACAATCATCCTCATCATAATCATCAGCATTAGCATCAGCATCGTAGTCATCATCAGCATCGTCAACATCATCACCGTAACCATCACCATCACCATCACCATCACCATCAGTATCATCATCGTCATCAGCACCAGCATAATCATCATTATCATCACCAGCATCGTCATCATCGTCATCATCATCGTCGTCGACATCGGTCGGCATCGGCGTCACCAGTCGTAGCAGTCGTCGTAGGTCGCAGTAGTAGTGGTTGTAGTAGTGGTAGTGATGGTAGTGGGAGGAGTGGTAGTAGTATAAGTAGTGGCAGTAGTAGTAGCGGAAGTAATAGCAGTATCATAGTAGTAGTAATAGTAGTAGGAGGAGGAGTAACATGCTTGCCATTCTTGGTAGTAGTAATCGAAAGTAGTAGTGGCAGTGGTAGTGGAAGTAGTAGTAATAGAAATCGGGGTCGTAGTAGCAGTAGTAGTAACAGTAGTAGTAGTAGTAGTACTACTACTACTACTACTACTACTACTAGGTGGAGCAGTAGTAATGGTACTAGTAGTGGTAGTGCTAGGAGTAGTAGTATTAGTAGTAGTAGTAGTAGTAGTAGTAGTAGTAGTAGTAGTAGTAGTATCAAACGTAGTAATGGTAGCGGCTATAGTAGCAGTAGTGGTAGTCGCCGGAGTTGTAGTTCTAGTAGTAGTCCTAGTAGTAGTAGTAGTAGTAGTAGTAGTAGTAGTAGTAGTAGTAGTAGTGTAGCAGTAGTAGTAGTAGTAGTAGTAGTAGTAGTAGTAGTAGTAGTAGTAGTAGTAGTAGTAATCGGTGTAGAGATGGGAGGAGGAGTAGCTGTCGTAGTCATAGTCGTAGTGACAGTAATAGGTCGTAGTCGTTGTAGTAGTAGTCGTAGTAGTAGCAGTAGTAGTTGTAGTAGTCGTAGTAGTAGTAGTAGTCGTCGTAGGAGAAGTAGTAGTAGTAGTAGTAGTAGTAGTAGTAGTAGTAGTAGTAGTAGTAGTAGTAGTAGTAGTAGTAGTGGTAGTATCAGGTGTACTAGTAGCAGTAGTAGTAGTAGTAGTAGTAGTAGTAGTAGTAATAGTAGTAGTAGTAGTAGTAGTAGTAGTAGTAGTAGTAGTCGTGATCTGGGCGGGGGAGGTGGTAGTATCCGTAGTAGCCGTAGTCGCAGTACTAGTGGTAGTAGTAGTAGTAGTAGTAGTAGTAGTAGTAGTTAGTAGTAGTGGTAGCAGTAGTAGTGTGTAGTAGTAAGTAGTAGTAGTAGTAGTAGTAGTAGTAGTAGTAGTAGTAGTAGTAGTAGTAGTAAAGAATAGTAGAAAAATAGCCGCAGTAGTAGTAGTATTAGGAGCAGTCGTAATAGTAGGAGGGGTCGTGGTAGGTAGTCGTAGTAGTAGTAATAATAATAAGTGTAGTAGTCGTAGTAGTAGTAGTAGTAGTAGTAGTAGTAGTAGTAGAAAAATAGTAATGGCAGTAGCCGTAGTAACCGTAATGGCAGTAGTAGCGATCGCAGTAGTAGCAGCAGCAGCAGTAGTA